ATAAAAATCCGAATTATCCGAAACCGGTTAACCGACTATCCAAAAAACCGATTTCAGTTGCCAGCGCTAATATAGGTAAGTTAGGCTAAATAGTCTTATTTTCATCCAAGGAACCTGTGGTCAAGCGTTGTCCATCCTTTTCAGGGACACCCTGTATAAAAATGGCACATAATGTTTATAACACAGTTAATTAATTAATTTATAAAACTTATTTGATAAATACAAATAAAATAAATCATAAACAATGCCTGGAGTTTATAAAAAAGAGTTATATCCCAGTCTCTTCCATTTTCCGATGATACAGCAACATTTCTGCTTTTGTTCTCTTGTAACTAATATCCGATGTCATGAATTTTGTTATTATTTTGCAATTTTAGATTTTTTAAGTTTATATTCTGATTTACGCCTCAGAAATGTACTGCTTTATGTTAGCACCCTGTATATCCACTGAGATGTTTATTAGATGACGGACGAATGTTTATGCAGGTGTGTGTCCAATGATGCCACTCTGGTATGTGTTGCCATCATAGTTGTAAGTTGAAAGCGATGTTTATATATTATGTAGGAAAAAGGGATAAGGGCTAGGCAGTCTGTAGAATGATTGTAAAGAGAGCAGACATTTAATATTCAATAAATATTGTTTACAGTTTTATTTATATGTTCGTTTATTAATCAACCCTAAGGCATTACATGTAGTTATGTATAGCATAAATAACTATTGTAAGATCTTATCTGCGATATATTTCAGGTCTAACATCCACATAATTTAAAAATATACCTACTTTTTTATTGAGTTTTTGTGTACTGTCGACTAATAAAATAATTAATATTTCGAATTTACTGTACTCATAATTAACAACGGCACGACAATATATCATTGAAAATCTTTTCCAACGTGATATATTATGACTCATAAAAACTCGTTTCATTCCTGAAACATTATTAAATATATGTCCCTTGCCGGCGATATTTCCGCCCACGTTCAAGTGGATGTGATTGGAATTCTAAGCGTTGCCAAATGTCGCGAACTTGTGCCCCAGGCGCCAGAATGTCCTATTGCTTTCTCTTCGAGTCCTTGCAGATGCAACAAATGCTTTCACACGTCAAAAATTCCTGTAAATCACAATATTGAAAACTAGAAAGAACTATCTACATATCAGTTTTTTTATTATACCTGTCATTTATAAAATGAGAAAATATTAATAGATTCCTAAAGCATTTTTCTTGAAAGAATTTACTTGCTTTCTGATTGTATTCCTTCTATCAGGAGCGATATGAAATTCGTCAGATCTGGGGATTTTCCGGAAACTTGGCAACGCCGTAGTTGTAAAGGTACAACTCGCGCCGCATCGATCGAAGCCGGCGGGGCGTAGCCTGTGCGATTCTCTGCTGGATTCTGGATACACAGCCGGTCACTCTCGGGCGTCGTACTTGCCTGAATTAATACTACCCTACTACTACACCCCCCCACGAAAACCTCCAAGGAATTTCCTTCGTTTAACCAAAGCATAGCGGCGATGAAATAGAATTTCCCGCAAAGCAATCTGCTGATTAGATCGGCTTGCCGAGACGTATCCTTGAACGTTACACCTTTTTTTTTATAAAGTATTAATAAAGCATCATAGCACTGGCGACTGTCTTATAGAATTTGATTTTTGATTAGGATTTGATACTTTCCTCAGGGTACGCCACTGACGAATCACTGATTTTCACTCTGCCTAATCAGTAATCAAGTCTGATGAAACTCTTGAACGTTTACTTTTTGAATTAAACTCATTCAAAATGTCACGAACCTAATAGGCGATAAGGGTATATCAAATTCAACGCTGATACTCATCTTAGTTCTACAACATAATAAAAATTTTGCAATGATTCATGTGGTGACAGAATAAAACAGATGATATTCATATTTCCGTTAAAAAATATCAAACAATCTTTATTGTATTGGAACTGAAAAAATGTCAGGAATATCTAACTAAACCGATGAAAGCATCCTACGCCAGTCCTGTACTCTGAGGGTCTTTGAACCTGGTCCATACGCAACCTCCATGGCACTACGCGATCGTTCTCTCCTATAGCAACAATCTCTTTAACGTTACTATATTGTTTAAACAAAGCACACTTTGATGTATCGAGAGGTATGGTCGCGCTGATGAGTTTTTTTCTGGGTTGTTTCTACGCAGGAATGTGGCTTTTGGGAAATCGTAGATCACTTAATGAACTTTTTACTATGATCTGTCATGATTTATACGTAATTTGTCGATCATCGTTTCGAAAAAAAATGGAATAAACTGTTTTACTTGAAGGAATAGTGACTTAATAATGTCCAAATATGCAGGGTGTGTCTAAAAGGTCTGTACAACGCTCCAGCAGAGTATGGCTCAAAATAAGTCGATTTAACTAAACTTGCCTTAGTCCAAAAATTGATAATAACGGAGCTACAGTGTTAAAGTTGAAAAAATAAATAATATCTTTAATATTTTTCGACTACTTCGAACTAATTTCGTGAAATTTCGTATTCGGTTTTTTTTTGTATGGGAAATTTGAATTTATCAACGTTGCAGTCTTCTTCTGCAACTTTTATATAAACGATTTTTGGTAAATAGACTTTTTACGGGTTCTACCAGCTGTTAAAATAAACGACTCAACTGTTCAAAATTGTTACCATTTGCTTACTATTTATTTTTTACTACGCAGTGGTCGAAAATGACAATAAATCTGGTTTGTATTATAAAGTTTTTAAATTTCAATTTTTTTTAATAATTGTTAATAATTTGACAACTTTTATATAAACGATTTTTAGTAAATCGACTTTTTTAACGAGTTCTACCAGCTGTTAAAATAAATGATTCAACTTTGAGAACACCCGATATATTCTTAGTAAAAGAAAAACCTAAATGCATAAAAAATACAAATTTGTATTATTCATAGCTTATTTGCCACAAACTAAGCAATACACATACAAATAAGACAATATAAAACAAATACACGTTCTTTGGGTGTAAGTTGACATCAATCAAAAATGTAAATATTAAAATGTGCATAACGTAAATTAAACAGGAATACAAAAAAAAAATTGTAATTAACTTACCTTAGTGCACAAGTCGATACTTAAAAAGATACAGGACATCAAAGTAAGAAATTTGTTTTCATTATTTTTAAATAACCTGTTCAACGAATTAAAGTCCAGTTAATAATTTTGCTGTTACTTGATAGAGGGCGCCACTTTGTATGTCTGTAAAATACGATAACTTTTTTGTTCCTAGGTATATCTGCTTTTTCAATTTCCAATTTTTTTTTACGTACAAAAGTATACTGTTCAAGTGTAGCTGCTAATAACCATTCTCGAAGTAAGATTTTGGATGATGTAGAATAATATATTGTTAATGGCTTGTACATCATACACTGAAACACCCTGTATAAATATTTAAATGCTTAGGCCACTGCAACTTCCAGTGGTTTACAGAGGTATAAAATAAAAGCATGGGACAGCCGAGATAAAATCTGGCGAAAGACTGAAATGAATATTGAGAGTGGGCCAAGTACGGGCCTGTTAAGAGCCGTTTCTCCCGAACTCTCACTTCGGCAACCAGCAAAGCGGGGGGTTTTGATCAGGTTCCATGTGGATAGTTGCTCTCAAATGTACAGGGTTAGTCACTATAATCTGACAACTTATTGTGAGTTTATTACTGAAATTGCAAAAAAAGATTTTTATACAAAAGTTTTAGCTTTTTTATGAATTTTTATAATACAACATTAGAAAAAACAACTGAATAATGGAAATCAGTAAATTAAAGAAAATTTTTGTTTTAAATGGAACGCCATATATATTAGTGCAAACTTAGCTTCGTTAAATTTTTCTCTTTTCAAAAATATGTAATATGTTACTGTTTGATTCAGGACTTTTCAACATTTTCAGTTTAAAACTATTTTTGAAAAGACAGGAGGGAAATTGATGTCGGACGGATCGCAGTGGCTATGGATGAGGCATGCGCAATAAACAAATGACTGACAGAAGTTTATTTATCATCATTAATTTATTTAATATAACAAATGTTTTAACAAAGAAATCGAAGCTATATAAGTATGCACTAATATATAGGGTGTTGCATTAAAAAAATCTTTAATTTAGTGATTTCCATTATTCAATTGTTTTTTCCAATACTGTATTATAAAAATTCATAAAAAAGCTAAAACTTTTGGATTAAAAACTTTCTTGTAATTTCAATAATAAACTCACAATAAGTTGTCAGGTTATAGTGACTAACCCTGTACAAGTGAATGGACGAAATAAAAAAAAAGATAAACGTAAGTATTCGTAATTTTTAAAAATGACTCACTAGACTCATTTATTTAAAAATGTACGTTCCTTTGAATACATTGTTGCACGAAAGTAAGGGTCTCGTTGTAGCATAAGGAAATTTATTAATTTAATTGATCCAAAAGTAATTTCTCTAATGATAACCAAATGATCAAATCAGGTGACGCACGTATAAGGATATCGAATAAAAAAAATAATTGCTTTTATTGAGAAACATTTGCAATTCGATAAGGATTATTAACAAATAATTATTATCAAGATTACACCTAGATTACTCCACTGCAGAGATTAAGGATAATTTCCTTATTAACATTAAATTGTTGATTTAATACAACTCAGATATAGATACGAGTTTATCAAGTCGACAGGTTTTCTGCAAGTTGGGCGCCGAATAGCCTTATCACTTTTGTTTTCAAAAGGTACAAGGTCGTATCCGTGGCCAAATAATCTCGAATGGACAATACACCGAAGTTATTTTCGCGATGCTGGGCGGTTTCACTTCTTCCTCAAGGACGTACAGATTTTTTTTTCTCGATTTTTATTGTCAGAGAAAGCAGTACTCCGTGTTTTATTGTGCCCCTTATCTTATTTGCTCTGCGATTGCAGTAAAACTCGCGCTATAAATAAAAACGATAAGGCGAAATAAAATCACAATAAAACGCATCGTTAAATAAATTTATTAAACCATAAAACACACAGACAAAAAATATTTCATATAAATAAACTAATGTACAATTATACATTTTTTTCCTTATAAAGCGAAACGAGGGTAATCCGCAAGATGAGACGAATACAAGGAGAGAGTTTCTAGAATTTATTACACTTAACTTACGTAATAAATTAGTAGGTAATATCTACATGTACAGGGCGTCGCACCCGAGCCGGCCCACACCAAATTCCTGCGTTGGTTTCATTGAACGTTGCCAAGTCTACTTGTACAGAATCTGGGGCAATAGACTATTGTCCCACAACAAAAACCCAGGGCAATTAACCAATATTTATTTGAACAACTGTATTGCTTTGTTTGGTCAAGATTCATTTTTTTTTTAGATTCAAGTAGGTACAAAGTTATTTGAAAATTTGTTTTTTTAACAATTATTTGGTATGGGTTAAGTTACGCCCGACGCCCTGCGTACAATATTAGGGATCCAAGTGCTTTTTTTAAATCTTAATAGCCATACAAATAGTAATACTAATTGGTTAGAAATATTAAAGTATTGTTATATAAAATGTACACAAAAACGTCCTATGCGGGGAGAGGGGCGGGGGGATGTTGTTCTACTATTGTTGTTCTAGGGAGTAGTGGCGCGATCTCTTCCAGAAGTTCTTGAAGAAGCCCTTCTTCTTCTGCACTTCTTCGCCTGAAACTAAAGAAAATAAATATGAGACTTTTTATACTTTCTATTGCGATCGTTATAGTTTGTTTCGAAAGGAGGTTTATAAAATTTTATGTTCTGTAGGTATAATCTCGGTTATATTGGTCGATAGAGAACAATTTCGATTATTTTGACAATGACGTTCTAGGAATCAAAAATTTTTTTAGTATCGCCACGCCATGTATACAGAAAGATTTGAACTAACAACTCTAACTGCAATTTGAAGCTATTCGAAGGACTTAACAGCCCCAGCTTCCGGAACTAAAATAAATTTCTTCATTTCGGAGATATTGGCAGCGGGAGTGTTAAAATGGCACACCCTGTATATTTATTAAACTTTTTAACACAGTCGTAAAAAAATATTTTATTCAAATATGTTCCACATAAAAGACAAAGTTTCCTATTATACCTGAAAAAGACACCTATGCGAAACGTAATCAAGTACATTAATGACATTCAGTTGTTTTAAATTCGAACAATTTCATTACAAAACTGTCAATTTTACTACATCTCTCATATCCCTAAATAAAATTAGAAATGACCGTCACTGACATCAAATAAACTTCGTGAACAAAGTATGCATTTACATTTACGATACCTGCGGCCTCTTATTACGATGGGTAACCATCAGTGCTCCATGTGGCACCCTTAAAAGTACCATTAGAGACAACGATATGATATCAACGACATTTTCACTGTGCTACGACATTGTAAACCCAGTTATTGCTTATTATTTGTTGACTCGTACTCAAAAAAAAGAGAGATAAGCCTGTTTGGTTTGTGAGTAACAAACAGAATTTATCTCACGACAAAATGAATTTTATGGATGACATGATTATCTAGATTTATCATCATTATTATATAATGAATAACGTTCACATTTAACGACAAGGAAAGCCCAGAAAATTTATTGCACGTCGCGTTTGTTTTCACGAAATAAAGACGGATTTTTATATTAGAAATACAAGGTGTTTCCGTTCCTCGGGCCGGTTTTGTACTTAAAAACGGGAGAGAAAAAAAATAAATACTTGAAACTCGAGCAATTGAAGCGTACATTTTTCACGAGAACAGTAGTCCAAGCATTCTGTCACGGATTAATGTTAAATTTGCAGAAATTATTACCTGGACAAAAAAATATGGCCATATAGAAAATTAAATTTTAAATTGAGTTTCTTATTCTTTAAACTCGATCCAAAATGGCGAACATGGTTAAAAAAAATCGCAAAGTTGCAAAAAACTGTTTTTCTAAAATAACTAAAAAAAATATAGCACCGATTGAAAAATTTTAAATGAGAAAGTTGTAGGTTTTAAAAAGATCTATCTACTGATTATTTGTAAATATCGATTGCTTAGTTACTTTTCGAGATATATCGAAAAAACCGTTAAAAATTTTCTCTTTTCTCTTCTTCTATAACTCGTTTACATTTACGTGTCCATATTTGCTATTTACTGCAAGCATAGCCCGCGGCAAGCCAAAAAAGTACATTTTTGAAAAATTTAAAAATATTAATTATATTTCGAGATATATCGATTTTTTGAAAAAAAGGCGCTCTCGAAAATTGGCTAGATCTTCTCAGCGGATAGCCCTACAGTAACGATTTTCGCTTTATTTTCTTCGTAAAGAGTTATATTATCATGCTGTTAAAAAATGTTGACGATTTTATTAATTTTAAGGATCAAAAAATGACTGAAAACGTTGCACTTTTTTTGGGTATGTTTTTTTCAAATAACTATTTCAATTTTTATTATTTTTTTGTACTTAATCTGGGGTAGCTAAACACGAATATTATAGCATTTTCGCCTTAGAAGCAAAATAGACCCGTAAATGTTTAGTTTTCTTTCTTTAAAAGTCATTTTCATAAAATAAAAATTGAAATAGTAATTTGAAAAAAACATACCCAAAAAAGTGCAACTTATTCAAAGTCATTTTTTGATCCTTAAAATTAATAAAATCGTCAACATTTTTTAACAGCATGATAATATAACTCTTTACGAAGAAAATAAACCGAAAATCGTTACTGTAGGGCTATCCGCTGAGAAGATCTAGCCAATTTTCGAGAGCGCCTTTTTTTCAAAAAATCGATATATCTCGAAAAATAATTAATATTTTTAAATTTTTCAAAAATGTACTTTTTTGGCTTGCCGCGGGCTATGCTTGCAGTAAATAGCAAATATGGGCACGTAAATGTAAACGAGTTATAGAAGAAGAGAAAAGAGAAGATTTTTAACGGTTTTTTCGATATATCTCGAAAAGTAACAAAGCAATCGATACTTTCAAAAAATCAGTCGATAGATCTTTTTAAAACCTACAACTTTCTCATTTAAAATTTTTCAATCCGTGCTATATTTTTTTAGTTATTTTAGAAAAACCATTTTTTTCAACTTTGCTATTTTTTTAACCATGTTCGCCATATTGGATCGAGTTTAAAGAACAGGAAACTCAATTTAAAATTTAATTTTCTATACGGTCATATTTTTTTTGTCTAGGTAATAATTTCTGTAAGCATTTCTCTATAATGCTTGGACTACAGAGCGACATTTCCGTCACTTATGTTTTCGGGGTCACTGATTACGATTCTGAGATCAAAAATACAATTTAACTGTTGACAGCTGCCAAAACGGTGTCATATTGACGAAGCGAATCGAGATCAAGGATAATGTTGCTGGTAAAGAGTTTTTGACATCGACGATTCCAAATCTGATACCACAAATACCTCTTGACACTTGACAGCTGTCATATCGATGCTGTCAAAATGACACAATGAATTATTTTTGGATAAAGAGATTTCCGAGGGATTTTGGGAGCGACAATACAAATTTTTACGTTGTAAATCACTCTTGACAGCCAGCAGCTGTCATATCGAGACTGTCAAAATTAAAACGAATCGATTTGTCGAAATAATAATACCCGAGGAGCTTTTGAAGTTGTTGATCTCGTCATGTCGATGCTGTCAAAACGTATCCAGTCAATACGTCCGTGTGTAGGCGCCTTTATAGAAAAAATCCATGGCCGTGCTCTGACAGGGGCCCGATACTCATTTAATTGAATTATATTCAAACTTCACCGTCCTGAAAACCGCTCAATGGTCGCGTGGGGGGAAATAACGCTTCATTCGAGTTTCCGCAGCCCCTGCCGCCACCCCGGTAGAAGGCGGGGGTGGTGTTTGGCCAGCTGGACGTAAATCGTTATAATCAGACATCCCCTTGCAGCGGATTCATTTTCCAAAGCCCGATAATCCCGTGCACACGACGAAAAACAATAGTTTCAAAGGTAACGTGATGTGCATTGTGTACGCGCGACACCGCTTTCAAACTGCTCAGGCCTGTGGGAGGTGTTCCTGAAACGATCGTTACTGTCTATACCTTTCGTATCTGCATAATACAGGATGTTTACAAGCTTGAAAATACAAATAGAATAAATTTTTTATATTCACTGATTTACCACAATAATACGAAGAAACATTTTTGGAACTACTGATTCCATCGATAGCTCGGCTGGCGTACAATTTACAAATCGCTGTATATAAAGGTGTACTGTTAACTTATAGTTTTCATCAACAGCTCCGTATAAATTTAGTAGCAATGTTATTTGAGTAGAAACAATGAAGCTTAAACGTTATGTAAGCATTATACAGGGTCGTTGATACGTATGGAAACGGTCGATTGTCGCCTAAAGAGAGATCGCTATCGACACAAACGTTTTAGGGTTTTTTAAAATCTATTACAATAAAGAAAAGTTAAGTATACAGGATAAGTCAAATATTATTCCATAGTTCAATTGTTCTCGAAATTCGAAACTAAATTCATATAGCACATCATGTACCTAAATTAACTGTTTTCGAAATATTGAACTTTGAAAATCATTTTCTTATAAATTATAAAAATATTTTTTTTAAATTCCGTATAAATCATTATCTTCAATAAATTTAAGTTAAGTATCAAATCTTTACTTTTTGACACTGTATATTCCAACAATATCTAAATTGAATAGTTTCCAATAATGTATCACTGTTATTTATAACTTCGGTGTTGTTTAAAGTTTATTAGCTTTGAAATTACATGGATTTTTCTGCATTTTTCGTCGTATATCTGAAAACGTGACAATAATACAATCGCTTTTATCAAATCAACCCTTTTACCCTTACTTCAATCAAACAACCCATATAAAAGTTACAGTGGAATTACCACTTAAAAAAAGTACCCTGAACATCGGTTCTACGCCACTGTAGTCGTAAAAACCACCTTAGCTCTCAAACCGTTTCCAACAAAGCTGTGAGCTGAGACCTTTGGGTTTTATCTAAATAGCCTAATGTACCCGAGTCTACCTATTTAGAAGTCTAGTAGCCCATTAACGACTCTATCGCAGGAGTTTCTGGACTAGCGATAGCAGCGGTTGATTTTCCGTTCAATCTGGGGAATGTGCAACGAATAAATCTATTTGTGAGCGAAGCCGGAACAGATAAAAAATGATGTCATCCATTAGTTCTGGTACTATCGGTCGACAGATATCGGAAGTTTACTTCCTCCTAAATTTATAAAAACCCCAAGTTCGATTGTTCGATTCGAGAACTGGATAAAAAGTGCAAGTGTTTTATGTACATAGAAAATAGCCCCCTCGCAGTTCTAGATTTATCAGGACCGGACTGAAGTTTCTTTAATATCTTAAAGAAGTTCCAGTTGCTCGTTATTGCATTATTTTAATTAGTTTTAAGTTTCTTGTAGAGAAAAACAGAACAGAGTGGATATAGAGAGAGAAAAATACCAGCGTGTATTTTTTTAGAATTTAGAATTCAAGTGGAAGAAGTTGAAAGTACAGTATCGCAACGTATTTCTTGAGAGTCAACAAGAAATATGAACTTTAAAAACTACATATTCCGTCAAAAGCTAATCGCGTATCTCTGTTACATTTTTCATAGTTAATAACATTCTGCGCATGTTACACGATACATTTTCGATTCCACCGAACTAAAATTCCCACAAATGGAAAGATT